AAATTTTTAAATAAAAAAACTAAAATTAACATTACTATTTATATATTTTCTCATGTAGCTGATAATTAACATTAACATTGATTTGTGTGTATATGATATGAACTCTCATCATAAATTTCTCCTCAAAGAAGAAGTTTGATCCCACAAATCGATTTTTGACCCCACCAATAGCTGTCATACCTTGATGTTTAGAGATTCTAAGGACACATTTCACGTCGGTGCTGAGCTTTAGACCCTCACCCGCTCACTGTGTCAGACGCTGGTAATAATTTACAGTTCCATTCACTCAGACTTTATGTCTCTCACCTCATAGTCATATACATGATATACTTATTTTCTGTTCTCTATGGATCGGTAAATTAACTTTTTTGAATTATTTGTCTTGCTTTTACAGAAAGCAGATCACCGCTTAGCTTTGCCTAAATGAAGTTGTAAGGCAGACAATTCCATTTACATTTTGAAAACGGGGCTATGAAATTGTAAAGAGAAAAAGGAATCCAAGGCAGAGACAAATATATGAGAAAAGAAAAAGATACAATTGTGAATATTTTTTTAATAAAGGTAATATTTTATAAAAATTTCTATGGTATCATTGGGTATTGGAAAATGAATTCTCCAAGACTCGAACATTAAACTTTGCTGTTGTTTTTATTAAGAAAAAATATTTCTTAAATCTTTAAATTGATTTTAAATAGTTTTTAAGTTTTTAAATTAAAAATAAAATAAATAAATCATTCAACTTCACTAAAAATACAAATAAACTTTTCTAATTGATGAATGTTCATACTTTCAAAATGATATTAAACATGAAATACCATTTATCTTATTTGCGAGAAGAGTTTATTTGTATCGTTAGTGAAGTTAGAGAATTTATCTTATTTTTAATTTAAGGATAGAAATATTATTTTAAGATAAATTTAAGAGTTTAAGAATGAATTTTACCTTTTATTAGATAATAAGTGGACTAATTACTTAATCTAATCATGTGAAACAGATAGAATTGTGAATTGTGCATAAAAAAATACTAACATTATATTAAATTATAATAATAAAATTAATATAGCTACAAAGTTATTCTGTAACATTTCATGTGATATATGAGTTATATTATATGTGTTAATTTATGTAATTAAGTACAAAATTGATTGTAAAACAAAATTTTGATGAATAATTTTAACTAATAAAAACAGAACTACATACAAGCTGAAATGTTTCGAAATTTTAAATGCATGCCAACCGAGCCAAAACTTCACCAGCATAATTATTTACTGTTTTAATGATAGGACATTTCTTGATATGACTGTTCATGCTCATTCACAATTGAGTGGCATTTCTTTTTGGTTTCACAAGGACTTAGTTCACATGGAGCTGAGATCTAAACCCTCACCCGCATCCGCCTACTGTGTCTGACGCTGATAATAATTGCATATTTCCATCTGCTCAAACATTTTATCTCTGGTCATGATCTCTCCCCCACACAGTCGCATGATGGCGTTTTCTGTTTTCTATGGGTCAATAATTACTTTTCTGAATCATTTTCCTGCTTAGCATTGCTTGAATGAAGTTCCTCTGCTTTTCTTCGTTATTGTAATGATTGTAAGGTGTTTCAGATTACTTTTTTAAGATCCGATTAATTAATGAATTTTTGTTTTCAAAAGACAAAAAATACACTACAAGAAAATTTATATTTAATAAATAAATTATTAATTATTAAATATTTAATTTGATAAAAAGGTTCTCAAATATTAAAAATTCATCTATATTTAATAAATAAATAAATTATTAATTATTAATTAATATTAAAAATTATAAAAGTTATTATTTATTTATCACTATAAATTATTTTAATTAGATAATTACTTAAATAAATATAAATTTTCATTTTTTAATCTTGACTAAAAGTAATAATCCACTTATATACATAAGTTTTAAATTTTTTATTTATATAAAATTTTAATTACTCATTTTTTATTTTTAATAATTAAGATTTATTATAATTTTTTAAATCAAATTATTTTTATTTCTTTAATTTCTAAGATTTCTAATTACTAAATTATATATTTAACCTTAAATTCTAAATACTAAATCTTAAATAACTCTAAAAACCAAATCTTATTTTTAAAAAATCTTAGAACATTAAATCCTGAACTTTTAAAAGTATAAATCTTAACACCGCAAACACTAAAGCTCTAATAATGTGTATAAACTCCAGAAATTTAAACTTAGCACAATTAAATCGGAATTCTAGATGAAGTTTGAGAATTAAAAAATAGCATAAAAAAAGTTGTGCGACCAAAACAAGTTTAAGGGCCTGTTTGGAATGGCACTTTAAGGATAGTAATTAATAATTTTGTCTAAATCATTATAGGATAAATGTATGGTACATTTAATTCTTTTAAAAATGTCATAAATTAGATGTTTAGTAAATTTTTTTTATTTAATGATTTAAAGACTAATGAAAAATAATTAAAATATAAAACCTTTAATAGATTGAAAAAAATTACGTAATGTAGCATTTTGCAACAAGTTACCAGTGGATTAAAATTTTATTAATTTTATTCAAAATTTTACCTTTTTTAATTTTTAAAATTTTTAGCTACAATCTTTAATTATTAATT